AAAGTAAACGAAAAAAAATTCTCGTACTGCAAGCAACAGTGTTCCACATGCAATGGAAGGGGCAATTTTGTATGTTTCTTGGTTGATTTATTTTTTTTATGCTTGATCCTATCTGTTTTTCATCACAAGCTTTAACAAAAGTGTGTTGGGCTTTTTTCCTCACCTCTGGTTCATGAGTTACCTTTGCACCCTCAGCCATGTCATAGAACCTACATATGTGAACAACTTTGATTATTACGAATTATTTTCCCATTGACTTTTGGCAATCGGTGTAGTGGGGAATTTAATATTCAGCCTGGGATGTTTTAGAGGAAGAACAGTTCCATCACAAACTTAGAAATTTTTCAAATATGGTATGTATTCTGTGCCAAGCATGCTCATTCCTTTTTCAAGTTCATTTTCAAAACTCCCTTCTTTGGCCAGCTTTATTTCCTAAGTTCTGTTTTGAGGGGGCATGCAAATATTAGTCATTATCCTTGGCATTATAGCAGAAGCTGGTCATTGGTAAATGTAAGGATTGATTGCTCAGGTCTTTTTGAAAAGAAAATACGGTTAGCAATTTTTTCAGGTAATAGAACATACTATCTATAGACTTCTAGGTATATGGTCTCAGGGCTAAGCCACAACAACTGACCAAAAATATTTTCTTACCTATGCTTTTTTAGTTATTTTGCTATGGCTGAGGTGAAAAAAGTCCTTCAGAAGAAAGGTCATTGTGATTTACATCATGATTTCTGATTACCTTTGCTCTGCTGCATGTGCATGTCTCCAAGTAGGCAACTAAAGCAAGATTTGCTAGGGAGTTCTCTGTCTTGTTCTCTATGGGTTTCTTGTTTGTCTTGAACACCTAGGCCCAACTTTGTTCAGTGCTGGGATGTTTTATGTGTTTTTCTGGTTTGATTCTCGCTGACGTCTATTCTTGCTAGGAACTTTGGTTGGAAGAAAACTGTTTAATATGCATTCCTCTGTTAGAGAACTAAGGATCAGAGATTAGGTGACTATTTCAGAAGATATTATTATTGCTGAGGAGAAAGGTATTATCCATCTCTTGAAGGTAATTGAATGAAAACCAAAAGCTATTTTGGCTCTCCTTTATTTACAAATAGGGTTTTCTTCCTCTGCCTCTTTTAATAGGAGGATGACTATAGCCTGTGCATGGTATTTTGACTAGTTTCGGAATTGTAACTGTCAGTGCCCTATATGAATTTCTTAAATCTTATGACTTACATTAATTTCTTAAATATTTTACAAACATATTTTATATAATTCTGTGCTCTAGTTTTCATATATTCCATATATTTAATTTTATTTTTATGGATATTTATAGAGATAAATATAATAAACTGTTTGAGTCAGGAATATGAGAAGGAAAAGGATATTCTTCTTGTAGAATTATTATATTGTTATATTGTCCTTTGTTTCTGAGTCACCCAGAAAGCAGATGTACCTTGTCTAATATATGTTAGGAAAAAGAAAATTCACAGTCGGTATTCCTTTTTTTCTCTTATTCTATGTCTTTTTTGTCTTTCTTCCTGTGATTCTCTATTGTCTCTTGATTTATACTGTGAACAACTCTGGAAATGAAATGGAAGTAGCATTGTTTTTTTTTTTAATTTGTAAAACTGTAAATCTTACCATTGTGTAAATTCATAGGAGAATGTTTCAATTGTTTTCACAATCCTTGAGCTGATAAATCACTTGGAAAACAATGGTTCTGTTAACTAAGATCTGCTCATTAAGAAGAGAAACTTCAAATTGTATCTGTATCACATTTTCAGGGGTTCTTTTCACCTTTGTTTAACACTTCAGTACAGTGGAAGAACTCCCAGAATACCCAGAGTGTTGTCAGACTGTGTTTATTTTACAAAAAGTTCTGGTAATTTTTACATGGAAACCTAAAAAACGTGAGGGAGTCAGTGATTTCTTTCGCTGGTATTCATGGGGATTTTCATTGTTGCTTTTCTTTTTTTTTTTTTTTCTCCTTTTGTTTTTGTCTGTAGTTTTAAGACTAGGTTGGTCTGTTCTTTTTCTCATTCTTAAAGGTTAAATTAAAACTGTGTCTAAAAATACACTGAATATTCTGCAGTTTCCTAGAATTGGCAAAGAGGCTGAATTGGTTTATAACTTCTGATTCACATTCTGCTATTTCAGACTTGACTCAGTCTTCTGGTGCTCAGATCTGTTTTGGCTTCTATTTAGTTCTTGGGACACAAAAAAAAGATTGGGCTGTTGTGCTTTTTGAAGAATGCCAAACATGTTAAAGGTAATGTAAGAGAGAGGAAATAGCAGCTCGTATCTATAGCTACAGCTTGTCTCATACTCTTGACAAATTAACCTTCATTCCTGACAGGCAAATAATAATAATTTTAAAAAATAGAGCATTATTTTGCAAGAATTAGATACTATTTTTCTTTCTCTTGAAATATTTTAAATTTCTGCAGTGTTATTCTGGTAATGGTGCAAGTTAGTGTAATTTTTTTGATTGATTCCCGTAGCCTAAATCTGTGGTAATCTGAGTATGGGTAAATCCCTGGCAAACAGGTACTCTTAGTAAGGTTAAAATATCTCCCTTCTAATTTCTAGTTCAAGATTAAAAGCCCATTTTTATAGGTGACTTCATATAGTCAGTCTAGACAGTCTAGTTATAAAAAATTTTTTTTTACTTGTTTCCTCTCACTGGAATCGATAAGGTGCTTAAGATAGTGACAGATACTAACTGTCTATGTCTGTGTAATCACTACTGCATTCCCATCAATAGTATAAATGCTTCTTTTTTCCCCAATGCTTACACAGATGCCTACCTCCACATATGAAGGGTTCATTCTCCTGCTCGTTGTGCTTAGCGTGGCTGCAGAGAGAATGAATAACCTCTTGTACTACTGGCCTCTGTTCTGTTAGACTCTTTACACAGAAAAAATCATGTAGCAATAAGTAAAAATTCTGGTCTCTCTTACCCGGTAATTTTTGTAGTCTCTTAACTTGAGAAGCAAGACAATGCCAGTAAGGCTTCTGTAACTAATATTTCTGTTTAAATATCCTCTCCTAAAAGCCCTTCACATGTACAGCTCACATTGACTTCGGGGAGTGTTCTATAAATTCGGAATTTGTGAATTTTGCATATATGATGGATGGTATAGACAACATATTTGTCTCTTGTTCTTTAACTGAAATAATGAAAATCAGAAAGCACAGTTTATCTGAAGCTAACTGAGGGTTGCTGTCTTCTTTTCTCTCCTTTTTCTCCTGTTTGGAGAATTGACA